TATATGAATAAATATAACTTATAATACTCTATGATTAAAATTTAATACAATTATCTGACTTATAACTTTAACTTATAATACTCTATTTATATTTGTGCAAATGCACAGGTCAAATACTAGTACCCATAAACCTAAAAACCATTTTTTAATGGCCCACATGTTTCCCACTTACTTTAATTTATATATCAATTTAATTCATATTTATTAAAAACACTACCCATAATTTTTACATTAACATATTTATTATATGTCATAATAAATATATTTTACGTACAATTAAAATAATAATAATAAGGGAAATTTATTACACATAAACTTACACTAATATAAAATATAAAAAATACATGCCGACAAATATTAAATAAATAATAAAAAAAGTTCGATTACACATAAACCTTACAATAATATAAAATATCGAAAACTGCATTGCGATAAAAATTAAAATATTCATACATGATCGATATACGACTCTTAATAATCAGGTTCATTTCATATATGTTCAACTAGGTCATACCTAAGTTGATGATGAACCTGTCTGTCTTGCACTTCAGCTCGTACTTGCAAGTAGCGACGAAAATTTGTTGGATTACCTTGATGTGTTTGGATAGGCGGTTCACCATCTTTATTAAACTAAATTAAACTAAATGAGGAAAAAATATAACTAAATAAAATAATAAAAATTAAAACTAAATGAAAGAATTAAAAGACATGTACAGTGGGTGCCTAATTAAATTTCATATTGCATCCATTTATTAAATATTTGAGGCCCACATTCTGCAAACTTTTATATTAATATATGAAAAAATGACGCCCCTTAACCATCTCCATACATATTTTACATTTAAAACCTTGGTCACTATTTAGACAATTACACTCCATTTCATTTTCATTTATACCCTTTTTTTAAATTTTTAATTATTTATCTTGTAACCGGTGTTTCAATTTCTTTTCCACAATCTTTTTTTCACGTTTCTTCTTATTTCCTTCTTCTTTCTTCTTCTTTTCTCACACAACAATATTTCTCCTTTTTGTTTTCTCTCCTTTTTTTTTCTTCTTCTAAATTCAGGCAATATACTCTTTAAAAAAAAAAAATTG